CCAATGCTGCACCATTGAGAACCGCAAGACCCACTGGACCAAGGGCGTGATGCATGCTTCGATCACGGGGTCCACGTGGCGGAGCCACAGTCTCAGAGCACGGTCCTTGCCGATGGCAGCACCTCCAAGACCACTCGCCACTAATTGCCTCGTCCTGTTGAGCTTGCTGGGATCCATGCCTGAGCAAGAGGAGCCGTACGTGAAAGAAGGTACCAGGCCACAACGAACAACCTTACCCCACTCGCGCCCCCTGCCGAGCGCACGCCATTATCTTGCGCTTCCGCTTGAGAGCAGTCTGCTCTCGGCCCCAGATACGCCCTCGAGCTCTCACTAGCTTGCCTTCAGCGCTGTCGACGCCTAGCTGATCACTAAAACATTTAAACTCGAGGCCCAAGCGGCCTGCCAAGTGCTTGCACGCCTTGCGCGCGCGGCGAGAGACGGGGAGGCCGTCGCCCTCGATCTGGCCGATGTAGTGGGCGACCGCATCTCCCAACTCTTCCGAAATAGTAATGGGATCCGCACTGCGCTGGAGGCTGACGTCACCAACGTACAGGGTGATGTACATGCGTGGCAAACGCGCCATGATGTGATCCAGAATTCTGATGAGCACCATCTTCAGCGCGCGAGTACCTGCGGCGCTGCCTGCTACCACGGCGGAATAGGTGGTGCCACTCTGTGAGCTAGTGACTCTCCTGAAGGCCACACCCCTAACACGCGTGAAACATGAAACCTCCACCTTTAGTGATTGCCGAGGGAACCCGACAACCTCTGCAATCTCCCAGTACATCGAGGTGTGCTCGAATGCCTTTTCCAAATCAAGAACCCCAGAGTGGCCGTGGCAATGCCAATGGATATGTTGGCCCCCTCGTCGGCAAGCATCTGGTGCCAAATAGCTTCTTCTGCCCCGCCCCTAGGTCCTGCCGCATCGCAGGGCCTCCGGATCATGTTCCCCCAGGCATATAAGAGCGGGGAGTGGGAATGGGCCCTCTCAGCCGCGCGCATGGGGTGGGCAGGAGTCCTAGAGGTCTGGTTCCTCCCTCTGGCTTCTGTAACAAGAGAGACATGAAATGCCTAATCTGTGGTGGCCAGTGAGCCCTGCGCGAGACGCAGTGCATGAAGTCAGCCAAGTACTGCACAGCGCCGTCCGAGAGGCAACTCCACCATCGAGGATGCCAGCTGCCGGTTCCAATACCAGCGCGTGGCTTGAATGCGCGACAAATAGCACGAAATCGCTCAGGCGTAATGTTAGCGATGCCCTCCAGCAAGCTGTGGTCATACTCGATGTCCTCCCACAGCCGATGTGGGGCGCCCATGCTAATGGATCCGTGACTGGCCCACGCATCGAACCACACTTTGGCCTCGACGTCTGCGGCCTTCTGATGGTCTTCCAATCGAAATGAATTGTAACCTACCTTCTGAACAGGGCTTGGTGGCGCCGCCCATTTGGTAAGTCGATGTATGTAGCCTGCACCTCCTCGAGATGCTTCCTTGAGTCTTCCTCTCTAAGCTTTGGGGCGCTCCGCAGCTTATGCCCATTCAATGGCCTGGGCTGCTCCCTGGGCCTCTCGCTGCAGCTCCATGACAGGGTTGATGTCCTGCGCCAAGGTATCGATGGTGAACGCTCCATTCATCATAATCAACAAACGCCGAAGTAACTCTGACGACCGCTCGCCCAGTGGTGCGAACCATCGTTCAGCTCTTCCCAGGATACGCCGCTGCAGGTTTCGCCATCTAGCAAAACATGGTGTCCGGGACCTCGCAGCCAGCGCGGCCTGGGAAATGAACGCAATGTCGCTGGCACGGGAGGTGATCCAGCGCCAGCATCGAGACTGAGCTGTACCCCGTGGCCGTGCGTGAGGCTGTGGCCCCGCCAGCTGGGGGCGGATCCAGCGCGGGTAGTCTCCTCGTCCACAGTAAACACTTGAGTTGTCCAACTGGCATATTCCGACAAGTTCACGCTCAACCAGTCGTGGGAACAACAGCCATTGGTGTGCATGTCATCGTCCGTCGAATTCACTTGGGTGCCGAACCCTGGCCATGCTGGCGGCTCCGGCACCCATCCGAATGGCCTCTGCAAGGGAAAATGCTTCGGACGAGACAGTTTCCAACCATGCTTGACTCGCATGCTCTTCTGCAATGTGATCTGCACTGGTGAATGTGGGAAGGCGGCGCTGTCAAGCACTGTGGCCTGACCGAAAGCCCCAGCGATGGTATAATCAACAATGAAATAATCGATAGCGCTGCCTCCACCCGTCCCAGCACACGTAGGTTTGACAGGGACAAGTGCCACACCTGAAACGTCTTCGATCCAGCCCGCGTCGATCAGCGACTGGATGTCGTGATTGAAGTCTGCCTGCAGCACCCAAGGGATACCGTACGACACAATGAGGTCCCCGATGGCGTCGGGGATGGACAGGTTCCTGATGGTCCAGGACTCGTTGGTCCAGAAGTACGCACTGATGAGCATGAGTCCGCCAGCTTGGCCTGCTGGCGCCCACGCTGCTGCCAATCTACCTTCAGATCCTGGTGGCGAAGCAACCTTCGGGCACCAAAGCGCGCAATGAAAGAGGAAGCCCGTGACTGGGCCGATGCCGGCATCTAGCCCGCGGCAAAGCAGTCGCTGGCGCGTGGCCCGCGACTGGGCAATTGCCCGTGGCCGGGCAACTGCAAGCCTTCAGCCTGCTTGCATGCGCGCAGTATCTGCTGGCCCTGGTGCGGGGGCTGGGACGGCGTTGCTACATTCCCTCTGCAGAGCGTGTCATTCGGGGTAGCTACAGCCTTTGGTATGACCATCAGCCTTGATATCTCGTGCATCGCACCACTGCGCGCAATGAATACCCTGGCCCATCATCCGTCGGATCCAGCTGTACGCCCCAGCAGGGTGCACTCCGTTGGCTTCTTCAGCTCCTGACAAGAAAACAGACTTGAAGACCGACTGGGCGTCGATGGTGAAGATTGCCGGTATGCTCGGACCACCTCTATCGACATGATTATTGAAGCTGTGTCGGTGTGAGTGGCTCAGCTCTAAGCTCGTGTAACGTCGCGACGGTAGGATGGCAATACTCAAAGTTACGTACTGCTGCTCGGGCAGCAGCAAAGTAGCTGTTGGAGGGCGAAAGAGGGGGTCGGCAACGGGGGGTCTTCAATGGGGACTGAATGGCCCATGTATGCTCAATGTATCGCTCACGTATGTGACCGGGTATGATTAACGTCCAATGTTGGCGGTCAGTAGGGCCAGTCGTTCGTGCCCGCGCGTTGCCCGCGCGGGCGCGCGCGCCGCCTATCCATTACCGTTCATGCGCGCGGGCGTTCTTGCATATTGCGCGGGGGGGCGGCGAAGTGGAGTGCAAGTGTGTTTTGATTGTGCGAGTGATGACCGCCTATATTCCCAAACGATGACTGATCGGACCCCCAAGACAGATTTGGAATGGGTCCCGCGCTTCTCCAAAAATGTCCATTCACATATTCCTTTTCCCAACGTGTGAATTCGCATCTTCCTTTCTCCCAAGATGTGAATTCGCATTCTGGCCCCTTCAGACAGATTCCTACACAAAATTCCACCACGTGAATTCTTGTTTTCGCTTAAATCCAAAATGTGAGATCACATTTGCCGTTTCCCCAAAATGTGGATTCACATTTTGTCCTGGCCTTCAAGATCCCCAAAACTGAGGCGCAGTGTTCCGCGTGTCAGATTGGCTGGGCAGATTTCGATACTCACCTGACCGCTTTCGCTTGTTCCAGCCTCTTCTTTTTGCGCCCTCAGCGCGCGTTGCCTTCGTCGCCTTTCCGGAGCCCCCCGCCCCCTTGCTTCCGTTCCCCTCAAGTCTCGCGCGCGGGCGCATGCGGGGAGCTTGTTCCCCGGCCGAACACAGCAATCCAGGATGCATCGCCCATTCATGGCCCATGAAGACATCATTGCTGGCACCCTGCGCCCGACCCCCACCTTCACCCTCCAAAGATGGAGCGTACCTGCAGCCAGTGCGATTTGCAGAGCGCATTGATTAGGCGCGCGACTGCCTCGCCGTTCGGCGCGTGGCCGCGCAGCGAGAGGTTGGCCCATCGGACGTCGCGCCCCCTGACTTCGTCGCTGGCGTCGCCGATCAGGCGTCGACAATCTGAATCGCTATGTGGGTCAACTGTTCCTGTCGCAGTCTGAATTGGGAATATTATTTTCCTCGGAACATCGCGTAATTAACGTGTTGCGGCGTTGAATCGTCGCGCTTGCATAGCGGTCGGTTGTTGCAGCGCGTCGCAGGGAGACCGCGCGCAACGTCTGGCCGCGCCGGCAAAGGTCTCCGCGCCGAAGGCTTCGACATCCATAAAAACGCGAAGTACTCGGCGGAGTCTGATAGTGCGTTGTATTACTCCAGTTCCGTTCTTCGCGAACATCCACGTGCGCGCATATCTTGACGCCGTGATGTTCGTCGCGTTGTTGTTCGTTGATATCATGGGTCTGAGAGCAATGGTTCTCGTGCCATAATTGCAATTCGCCGTGCGAGGGCTTGGACATCTCGGCAGAATTTGCCTGCATTTCGGTCTGCGCGAGGAAGCCGGCTTCTTTGACGACGACAGCTTTTTTAGACGCGGCTGACGCATATACACGCGTGGCGATTATCTGGCCGTCGCGGAGAAATGTGTGCAGCTTTTCTATCAGGACAACCTTGGACACGTCAATGGGGGAACATAGCTCTACGCACTGAGCGTGCTCGTCCGAATCCAGACAGTAGGTCTCGTCACACTCGGTGGTAAAATGCGACGAGATATGTCTCCTCTGCGTCGCCCTGGTGACAGCCCGTTTCATGTGAATGTCCTCGCTCCCCTGGCCACAATTCAAAAGATGTGGTTTTCGATGAGCATCTCCGCGAATTCCTTGCATGCGGGTTCCACTGGAGTCGGTCCCGCGAGCTCCTGTTCTTCCTGAATTTCAAAGTGCCATGCTTCCAACATGCGTGCATATCGAAATTTGAATCCTCATTGATGGTCGGGAGTCGTCCATCGCTTGCGGCGGGAGCCGAAGATGGCCCGCCCTCCATAGCACGGCCGCTCGATGGTGGGGAGCCCACCAGCCCCTCAAACTTAGATAGGTACGCGTCGAAGCCTGCCGAGGGTTCTGAGGGTTTGAGGCGCTGGATGATACGTGAGTGCGCGCACCCAATTTTGTCAGGGCTGTGCCTTCGGATTCGAGTCGTGGAAACCGCGTGTGACATCGTAGTGCGCTGGCGTACAACTGCCAGCAAAAGGCGCTGCGGGTGTGACATCACTGTCGGAGCCGCGGCGCGTGCCCGCCCGCGCTCCACCCCGCGCAGCGCGCGCTGCCCTCGGACCGCGCGGGCCACGCGGCCAGACTTTGGCCGCGCGGCTGCGACCGCGCAGACTCCGTCGGCGCCCCCCAGCGGCCGCCTGCAGCGCGGTGCCCTCTGCGCGAAGTCACTCGCCCGATCTGTCTCGCGCGCCCGAACGAACTTTTCCCGTCGCCTCAACCGCGACTCTACGGCGCCCGCGTTCTGCCTCGCCACCAGATCCGTTCTCTCCACCACGCGGGCGGCCCCCGCGCCCCAGCTCAGCACGCCGCGAGGCGTCTCTGCGCCGCCGCCCGCACCGCGCCGTCGCCGCGGCTACCTACGCGAGCTCTGAAGCGATATGGCCCGCAACCGCCTCGACGTTTGCCGAGGCCGGCAAGCCCGCGTTCGGC